GTGAGTTGAAATCTAGTCATCCGCTTCTGAAGATCCATAGTTCCTCTGTTGTACTTCATGAACTGCATGAAACGGAATAAAAACACGTTTTGGGCACCCTTGATGAAATGAGGTCGTAGAAATCTTTTGAAATAGTTCACTCCTTCCTGGGGATCCCTGAGCATCTCTCTATCCAATAGCCTCTTGTATTGTTGAGCATCTCCTTCCAGTCTATTGCGCAAGGCTGGACCACGTTTCTCAGGTTCTAACTCCGTGATGTCACACCAGTCATCAATTGCATCTTCAAAAGCAAAGAAACTAGTTCTCCCATCATATGCTGGAGCTACCTTTGTGGTCATTTGTTGCGTCATGTGAATCTGTGTCTGCTGGGGTGATCTTCTCATTGCATAAGAGTCATATTGGTTCCATTCATCTGCATCGACAATGTCGAAGTCATCATCATCATAGCCATGGCGTGCCATTGCTTGGGCTCTACCTGGAGCTCACCCTCAATGAGGGATCACAGCTCCGCTACCACTTGAAGAGGGGCCCTAGCGTCTACTTCAAGATCAGCTAAGGCGTCTTCCCCAATGACAGCACTCTTTTACTCAGCCTGTTGCCGGTCAGTGCTATGTCTACAGGGTTACTCTAGTATACCTCTTGAGCCTTGAAGGGCGCATATAAATGTGCTCAATACTCATGCATGCACCTCTGTAGGTATTAGGTCGAAACAAAAACAAGGGCGCAGCACCTCCCCCCAAAGCAGAATGCAAGCACCTCTTCTCACATGTTACGTTGCTAGTTTCAAGAGAAGGTTGGTCATGTGATACTCAGGGATGTAAATACTGTGCAAAATGCATCTTACATGAAAATCAAGGATTTAAAGCAGGCAAAGCAAAAAAAAAAGCAGAGAAGCAAAGAAACAGGAAACGCACAAAAGCAAAACAGCACAAAGGCAAAGAAGCAGGAAAAGCAGAAAAGCAGAGAAGCAGGAAAAGCAGAGAAGCAAAGAAACATGAAAAACAGAAAAGCAAAAAAGCAGAGAAGCAGGAGAAGCAGAAAAGCAAAAAAGCAGAAAAGGCGAGAAGCAGGAGAAGCAGAAAAGCAAAAAAACAAAAAAGCAGAGAAGCAGGAAAAGCAGGAAAAGCAGGAAAGCAGAGAAGCAGGAAAAGCAGGAAAAGCAGAGGAGCAGGAATCCAAAAATAATTCCTAAACCTGATCAAAAAAAATATCCTAAAATAATTAGCCCTCCAAAGTATATTGTCACCAAGTGCCGCGCCTGCCACGCAAAACCAAAGTAGATGTCTCCAAGTGCCACGCCTGCCACGCCAAACAAAAGTAGATGTCGCCAAGTGCCACGCCTGCCACGCAAAGTGCGGCGGCGTCACCGGCGACTAATCCGATCCAAGCGCGCCACCAGAGCCAGCCCAGTGCTGTAAGTGGGACACCTGCCCCGCAAAACGAAGGTGGATGTCGCCAAGTGCCACGCCTGCCACGCAAAGTGCCGCTAAACGCAGGTAGATGATGTGTGACAAAGCTGCGTGTGAAAGAAGATGTTGGAAATGATGTGTGACAAAGTTGTGTGTGAAAGAAGATGTTGGAGATGATGTGTGACAAAGTTGTGTGTGAAAGATGATGTGTGAGATGATGTGTGACAAGTTGTGTGTGAAAGATGATGTGTGACAAAGTTGTGTGAAAGATGATGTGTGACAAAGTTGTGTGCGAAAGAAGATGTGTGAGATGATGTGTGACAGATGATGTGTGACAGCGGAGACAAAGTTGTGTATGACAAAGTTGTGTGAAAGATGATGTGTGACAAAGTTGTGTGTTTGAAAGAAGATGTGTGAGATGATGTGTGACAAAGTTGTGTGTGAAAGATGATGTGTGTTTGTTGACAAAGTGACGGAGGCGGGAGGAGGAGGCGGGGAGGTGGGGAAGAACCCGGGATACAGAATCAAAAACAAGAACCCCACACAAAGATGTGGGGAATAATTTTAGTAAAAATAAGACTACTAGAAACAATAGCAATAATAAAAAATAATGATAATAATAATGCAAACAAAAATGAACTTGTAAAAAAATGAAAATAATAACAATAAAAACGGTAATAATAATAAATAAATTTAATGATGATGATAATGATAATGACAATGGTAATGACAATGGTAATGACAATGATAACGACAATATTAGAAAATCCTAGTAATACTAATAGCAATAGCAATGGCAACCACATAAAGTAATAGAGTAATAGGGCAATAGAGCCATGGAGTCATAGAGTAATGGAGTAACCAAAGGAAGTTGGGAAGCAATATTCCAAGTTACGGACGAACAGAATTGTGAGACTCTACATTTAAAACAATACATCACATAACTACACATCACACAGCAATACATCACATAACAATACCTCACAAACGTACATCAAAATAACACTACTAGAAACAATAGCAATAAGAAGAAGAAGAAAAGAAACAATAAGAAGAATAAGAAGAACAAGAAGAAACAAATGTACTGGCTCAAGCATTTTACAGCACCAAAAGCGTTTGTAACTGTTGAATTGTTGATCGCAAAACAACCGATGCGGATGGTTTACAAGTGTCGTCTATGGCATTGCAAAACATGAATGGTACAGCATCAACTAGGTAAAAGTGGGCCGGTGCGGGCAGCGAATGCACTTAGAATATGGGCACAACTACACTGCCACTTAAATCCATGCAGCAAGGCGTCCAGGCAAAAGAAATGCGGTACAGCACCAAATCAGTTTGAAACTGTTGACTATATGTGATTGAGTGAAGCACCTTGTAGTTGGATTTTGCCTTCCGGTGGAGCCTGGAAACACCTAAAATACAGTAGCGCCATTGGCCCACCTGGAGGCTGGCCAGTATAAAAACAGCCTTGTCCCAACGGATCCAAAAAGACCGGCTTGTACTTTATAGGTTCGGGGCGCCGGCACCCCACCCTTTTCCAACCAAAAAAAGGAATCCGAAAAAAGAACAAACACACACAAACACAACAATCCTTGGACTCAGCACTCGTGGTTTTCGACACCCTCCCCCCGTGCTGCATGCACGTCGTCGCCTTACTGCTCCTTGGATTTTTCACCATGGCGACTCCCTCTTCCAGCCCCCCATCCGTGGTTGACCTCACCGGCCACAGCCCTGGCAGACACCACCCCGCCAGCCCCGACATAACCGGCAGCGACGTGCACAGTTTGCCTCGGCGCTCCAACCAGTAGATCCCACAGATGCTCAAATTGTGCTCGGCTGGTGCTCGACTTGTGCTCGGCTGGTGCTCGACTTGTGCTCGGCTGGTGCTCAAATTGTGCTCTGCTCGGCTGGTGCTCAAATTGTGCTCGGCTGGTGCTCAAATTGTGCTCGGCTGGTGCTCAAATTGTGCTCGGCTGGTGCTCAAATTGTGCTCGGCTGATGCTCAAATTGTGCTCAGCTGGTGCTCAAATTGTGCTCGGCCTGTGCTCGAATTGTGCTCGGCTGGTGCTTGGATTGTGCTCGGCTGGTGCTCAAATTGTGCTCAGCTGGTGCTCAAATTGTGCCCGGCTGGTGCTCAAATTGTGCTCGGCTGGTGCTCAAATGTGCTCGGCTGGTGCTCAAAATGTGCTTTTCTTGTGGCCCCTCTGGTCCTTTGCATGGATTTTTGGTAATTTTAAATTTGCGCTGTGGTGCCGGTGCTCAAATGCTTGGCTGGTGCTCAAGTTGTGCTCGGCTGGTGCTCAAATTGTGCTCGGGTGGTGCTCAAATTGTGCTCGGCTGGTGCTCAAATTGTGCCCGGCTGGTGCTCAAATTGTGCTTCGGCTGGTGCTCAAATTGTGCTTTTCTTGTGGTCCCTTTCCTTGCCCAGGCTTCTTTTTTCCTTTCTTTGGACAGCTATTTTTGCGGTCTCCGTGTGCTTTTTTTGTGCTTTTTTTTTGTGTGTTTTTTGTTTTTTTTTTGTGCTTTTTTGATTTTTTTTTGTGTGCTTTTTGGCGCTCTTTTTGTGTCTGCTTGTGCTTGTTTTGGCGGTTGGTACTTACGCGTCAATGAAGTTTTGCGATTTAGGGTTCGGATGGGCTCAGGGTTTAGGATTTAAAGTTTAGGATGGTTGCCAAGTTGCAAGGACTGCCTTGCGCTCACAAGAACATTGCCATTTTCCCACATGGCCAATCTGACTCCATGCTTCAGCACATTACGGTACATTGTGCCAGTTGCATCAAGCGGCCCAATTCTTTCACAATATGTTCCAGCCCTTGCTACAATGCAGATGCCTTGCCCGCACCTTCTCAGGGTAACGCATGAATGTATTGTCTATAGTCTGCACTCTTCTTTTCTCAATATTCCACAATCACTTCGCCATGGAATGCAACTGATATGCTTGAAAGATCTTGACAGTGAAGCCCCTGTCTTGAAATCTGAATTCTGTATCAGGGGTTTGGAAGGCAGGTTTGCGTTTTGTTTTTGGCACCTCCTAGCCGAGATTTTTGGAGCAATTTCCTTGTGCTCGTTTTGAAAGGGTAGGTTAAAGGAAAATTATTTATCTGCTGTTACTGGGCGGGGGGTAGATCGAAAGTATGATGTAGGTGAGGTAGATGATATGATGTAGATGATATGAAGAAGGTAGGAGAGACTAATGTAGGTGATGTTATGTAAATGAATTTGGCAGTCGTTCTTCGGGAAAAACCCTTCGCAGGAGCTTTCGGGAACTACGACAAAAATTTACCTAAATTTTCGGCGACGTCAAAGCTAGTAAATCAACAACGTTGACGCATTTTTTTTGAGCTCTCTACTAGCCTCAAGGCTGTGCTATTTAATTGATTGTGTTTTAAACACAAAGGCCACAAAGGCTTCACAGAGGAAGCGCCAAATCTCCAACTCCAACTTAAGAGACGCCGGAGACTTATGAAGTTATAACATAAGTTACAATTAAGTTATCTTGAGTGGTTCCTAAGTCCTCTTGTAACTTTTATAACTTTTATAACTTCATACGTCTCCGGCGACGCTTCAGAACTACTCTGCCGTTAGAGATATGGAAAATTTGAATGCGGCGAAGCAGCGCCTCAGACCCAGCAGGAAGCATGAGCACAGGTTGGCTGTGCTATTTAATTGATTGTGTTTTAAACACAAAGGCCACAAAGGCTTCACAGAGGAAGCGCCAAATCTCCAACTCCAACTACTCTGCCGTTAGAGATATGGAAAATTTGAATGCGGCGAAGCAGCGCCTCAGACCCAGCAGGAAGCACGAGCACAGGATGGGCCAAGCTCTGGAGCATCTTCAGCTTCTTCAGAAACCTCAGCCTCTTCACGCTCTTCAGAAATGCGACGGCGGCTTGTCCCAACTCTCTGTTGCGAAGATGATCCAAAGTTCCTGCGGGAGACTTGCAGTAACATAGCATCTGCTAGGACTTCAGTCACAACGTCGACAGCATGAAGGTCGTAGACAGTGAGGTTGTCCAGGCTACGAACCCATTCATGCTGTTGATCCTCTGCCGCTGCGCTGATACAGTGGGAGATCTCAATGAGTTTGTCCAATACCTTCTCATTCGTAGCACATCTTCCCAGGTTCAAGATCAGGTCACTGTGGCTTCCTATGACTTGCCGCTGGAAAAGACTCCAGACGCAAGTGCAAAGCATGAGCAAAAGAATGCCGGCGATGCTTGACGAAAGAAGTGTAGCTAAAATCTCGAAGGCTTCCATTTCCACACCCCCGTCGTCATTTTGGAGTCCCAAACACACGAACAACAAGAGCACAAAAATCCCAGTCGAGAGAGAGTCCACGAGATTTAGTATCGGAGCTTTCCACGGCTGAAGCCACATTTGGACGCCAAGATAGGTCAGGAGTATGCTCCCCATCATTGTCAAGCTAAAGCGGGGCATGTCTGGGACGACAACACCACATAGGGGCAGGACGCCGCCTCGAACGAGCAAGACCAAGCCAAACCACCAAACCTGCGGTCTGAAGCGGAAGATCAAGAAGCGAATCGCCGGTAGTTTCTTGGACCAAGTTGGTGCCCTTGCTGCAGCATAGAAGCAGGCACTGAGGAAAATCATCAGCACGACCATCAAAGAAATTCCAAAAGCTTCCATGTGTGGACTCTCACCACAAAGGACGTTTGAATGCTGTGCCACGCTGTACTGCCCTGTGGGATGCCTGTAGCACACGAAAGGCACCCTGCTAAGAGCGGCCAAGGTCGTGAACCCAAGTTGGAAGATTGTTCCCATGACTGAAATTGTCTTCAACGGATCCCAAGCCAGACCACAGCGCTTAAGGAAGATATTGGACAAAACCCACGCGGCTGGTAGCATCAAGGCCACAACGTAAACGAACGAGATCTGCAATCCATACTGCCATACGTCAGTACCTACTAGACAGGCGGTGGCAGGGGCCTCCAGGTTCAAGAATACACTTGCGACTTCGAACAACTTGCTGAGAAATGGAGGCCAGTCCATTCTAATGCTGTTCACGACGCCCAAGTTCTGGAAAAAGGACACCATTATGGCAATGCTGGCACCAGTACACATGAGCACACTTGCTTTGGCACTGAGGCTAGATGTGATCGCATAGTAGGAAAGGACAACTCCAATAGCAAGGGCTGCAGCTCCAAGAGCCCATGATACCACCGTTGCTGAGGTACAGGCCTCGCACTTCGAAGCCCAGTACTCCCCATTTGGGCAGGCACCACAGGTAATACCAACCCGACCTCCAGCGCAACTGCCAGGGGGACCACCGGGGCAGAATTTCTCAGAGACACACTTGTGGACTTGCAGTGGAGTTGCAGGATCACTGTGGAATCCCTCTATGATCCTCAAAGCATTGGTTTCGTGGGCCTTTGACAAGAGAGCGACAGTACTACCAACTGGGCAATTCACGCCCAGCGGGCATTCCAGGCACGCTCCATCTTCCTCAATCTGTCCTTCGTTGCAAACACAATCCATGTAAGAAACCCCACCGAGCAACTGGGTAGTCCGGAGACCACACGAGATGCATAGAGTCTGACCGGTACTGTTTTGATAAGACCCTACACTACAGGGCAAACACGCTTCACTTCCGTAGCTGTTGGTCACAGTTCCCTTCCGGCATGGTTCGCATGTAGTGGAGAACGGGTTTTCTTGAGAAAACCCTGGTGGGCATGGAGTGCAGACAAATGTCTCTCCGTCAGCATCCGACATTGGTGTGGATTTGCTGCCAGCAGGACAATGAGTGCAGCCAACTGCTTGGCTGATGTTTTGAACCAGCAGTCCAGAACCATCAACCAAACCGAAGCCCACGGCGCACGAAGTTTTTGAAGCAATCCAATCCCTCCATGCAGCTGGATTCTGCTGGAGCCAGGTACATGCTGTAGTCCAAGCGTCCTCACCTGATAACACATGTGACCGCAGCAAACCATTTATCCCCTCAATGGAGAACTCTAACCTCTCCGCCACCAGAAAGGCATACCTGGCTGCGGTTTGCAATCCACGAGATGCCCATTTGGACAATACCACTTTGCTGTTCATTGTCTTGTAGACTTTCTCTGCATACTGTTCGCGGCTATGGTCTGGAAAAATGACTGGTGAAGGGCTGTCAAGTATGAAGGCGGTGTCTGGCACCCATGTGTACAACAAGCTCTGCAATTCGCGGTTCAAACTCGCAAACTCAACGTCAATGGCACTGGCAAACGCCAAAGGCATGCCGTGCCAAAATGCTTGTTGCATCATCTCTGGCATGCCCCAACCCGTAAAGGGCATAATGACTGGCACGCACTTTGACATGTCACTGCGGCATGCTGGCGCAAGCCACCATTTATTCTGCCAGCAGCTCAAGGTCTTGCCGCTTGGAGCTTCCAGAACACCTTCATCATCTCCAGTAATTTTCAAGTACAAGTCTGCGATCCCGGGATAGCCCAGTTCGATGCTGTCGCAGCCCTTCAATAGAGCCAGGTCCACTTCTGATACCTTGGCTGTGTACTGCGATGGATCAAAGAAAGCAAGATTGTAAGAGCGATAGAAGTCCAGAGACAAACCACTGTCTTGTAGACCCGCGTGCAAGGATCCATTGAGAACAAACATTCCGCTCTTCCCTTCATATCCAATGGATCCCAGGTTGATAGGAGCTCCGTATGGTTCCAACTCTGTGAGCCATTGCTGAGTCCATGGAGAGTCAGTAAGCCAGTTCTCGAACGACACGTGGAATCGGCGAGGAGGACCACAATCTCCGACAATCTCAAAGCCTTGGTGGGCACAGCCTGCAAGCTTGCCAAGAATCAATTCGCTGGCAGGGCCTGTAGCAAATTCCACGTGGAGTCCAAGCACTTCCGAAGCAATGATTCCATACATCTGTGATATGATCACCGAGGAATCCCAAGCATTTTGCCAAATTCCTAGTGGCATGCTAACCCCATCCATGGTGATATTGATTCGCTCAGCGGCAGGTATTGCATCCCGTAAGCACGACACAGAACTTGCAGTACCCACTCCAAGGCTCAAAGCAACCAGAAGAATTTCCAAGATGGGATTCATTGCCTCACTACACGGGCAGAGATTGACCCACATCAGCTGCAGGTCAAAACGAGGACAAGGAACCATGGCTGACTCGAACTGCTGCCAAAGGGAAAAAAAGACATCGTTGTGGCGGGCAAGCTTGGAGGGTTTACTCGTGCTCTGCACTTCTTTTCGGTTTCAGTCTGCTTCTTGCAGCGTTGCCCAAGCGTTGCTCCCTGGTCTTCAGAGAGCTCCACTTGGCTCTGGCCCTCACCTCCGGCAGGGAGCAAAGCTCAAAGAACATCTAGTTCGATTTCAAGCGGACTGCAATCTTAGCAGTCCAAAATCAGTTGGTCTGAGATTACAGCAGGCAATAAGCCAACGTAGAATCCCAACATCGGTTGTGGCAACACAAAATGTGGTGAACATTGTCTGGCATACGTAACTGATGCGTCATGCGTCATACCCAGGGCGTAAGCCATGCGTAGCGGGTGACCTACACGTTACAGTTGCCAATCCTACAGTAACTTCGAAGAACTTCGAATAACTTCAAAAAACTGCAAATTATTCGAATCACTTTGAATAGCTGGGGAAATCTATTCGATCCATCGTCGGATTTCAATATGTCGTGCTGCAGCGCATGGGACGCCACTCGAGATCAGCGAGCCGCCCTTCGACGAGGCTGCAGCCGCTTTGGCCTCCTGCAGGACCTACCGGTCATCACTGCTGAGGAGAGTGCAAGTGCAACAAGGCATCGCTGAAAGGTCATCACTGTTCACTAGGTGTTCACACTATTTAGTATATCACTATGGCACTAGCTGCTGAGAGGATGTCAGAACTTGAACATCTGAAGCTGCAACAAAAGTCACAGCCAACTCAGATATCAGTCTGGGTACTGTCAAAGTTTGTCTTGGAGTCCATTGAATCTCAACTCTCATTTTCCATTCCGTCTCCCATGACCTTGTCATAAATCTGCCCACGATCAAACATGCCTGTGAACGTCTTGACATCCTCAGAGCTGGATGTCATTGCCCGCAACTGCCATGACTGAAAGACTCCGACCGATCAAAATTTTCAATCTTCGAAAAAAATGAAGATTCCAGAACATTTTTGCCGACGCCGCGGAATGGCTGAAGGTGCCATGAGAAGTGCCAAAAATCAGTCCTTCTCTCGCTGCACGCTGCGCTCTGAACGAAGCCTGTGGCTTTAGTAAATGTAGAAAACCAACAAAACAACCAGCATGGTGCAGTTGATTTCTCTTGAGTGACCTTGATTATCTTGAAGGGGCACAGGAATGCACAGGAGACACTACATATAAATCTGATCTTCAAAATCCTGATCTCAAAGTACTTTTCTTAACCATTTTTGTGGGTTTTCACCCCTTCTACCTGGCCCTGAAATAATCTTATCCTTGCTGAAACACATTTCCGTCATGGCTGTGGACATGCAATGGTCATCCAAGCCTTACGAGGAGGTGCTCCACAGTTTGGTTCGACGGATCCGGGCGATTCTCTTGGGCTAATTCCTGTTGCCAAGTTGAAGGTTCGGAACATACTCCCAAAACACAAATG